ACCTTTAACCTTTAGTTATTTCAACTAATGTCCTAGAACTTGATTTCTTTGTTCCTTCTCACAAAATTCTTCAAAGCTTTAACAAGCTTCTTTTGTAAATCCAATATAGGAAAGTTTTCCAGGTCAGTCTTTTGGTTTGTTATTTGTATAACCCTTTTAATTATTAAGACATCCAGTTTCATTTGTATGTCCAGTGTGGCATCTTTTCATTCTTGTAGTGTCTCATTTTTAAATCCACTTTCAGATCAGTCTTATTCAGTATAACTTGATTCTCTTCCATAACATATTTTAAACACAGTCTTTCTATAGAAGCAAATCATTTTAAAAATAATTTCTGGGTCCATTGTTCACAAATGTCCTTTGATATGTCCAATGTTAAAATATTTTGCTCCATTATATATTTGTAAGTCAAATTTAATTGTTCTTCTAAAAATTGTAATTTTTAGTTCCTTCTGGTTTAGTTCCTTCTAGTGTCCAACCTTCCAAGTCTCATTCTATCATTTTTTTTAAAAAGAGAATTCAAAACAAAAGCATTTTCCCATGTTAATTCCAAAATCGTATTTAAAATCCATCTGGAACCTTAGTCCATTTGTAACTTTCCAAAATCAAAGATCTAATCTCTGTTTTGTTTATTCCAAGAAAAAAAAATGTTTAACACCTCTACACTTCTATTTCAAACTTCTTTGGTTAAAAATTGAAAAAAGTCACCCGATGCTGTAAAACATATCGCTCCAAAGGTTCCTAAAAGCTGAAAGGTAGTTAACAAGCAATTTCTGAAAATGATTAGAAAAGTAGTGAACCCAGTGTCCTTTTGACTGAGCTGACCATGGTTCAAGCAAAAAAAAAAAAAGTTGTTCCCTCATTACCCAGAGCTTTAAACTTGCTAGAGATCTCATGAGAAATAACTGTACGGAGCACTTGTGGGCAATCTGAAGTTCTCTCCTTGTTCAGAGAGGAATTACAAAGAGCCAGTTTAATTGCTGGTTCTTCATTTCACTATAGTTCTTGGCTTCACTTTTAGCAGAGCCATCTTCAGTTCATCATTTCTTCCCCAGCTGTTTGGAGGCATGTACATGGTGCTATCTATCCTGCCTTTCTTGGTTATTTCTTCACTCAGCTGCACTATGGTGGTTTCTTCCATTTTAATGGAACATGCCATTTGAATAGTGAGCCTAAGTACACTTAGTTGGAAGCCAGTGTTAAGCCAGAGAGATTTACTTCCAAGTGTGGGTCTTTCGGATCAAGAAGCTGCCAAATGAAACAGCTGCAGGGACTGGAAGCTCTACTCTTCTGCCTGTAATTTGGTGTGGAATATCTTTGGCTGCTTATAAGTTGGCCTGCTAATGCAGAAAACTATCATTTTAGGGCCTTCATTTTTAGTTCCCTTGATGATGCATGGTTATGAGAATTTAACCAGGCTGTCACATTTCTTTTAGGACTATTAGATTTTATGTCTCACTGAATGTTGTTGTGAAAGATGTCATCTGTTTTAACTGATGAATGTCTCTTGTGTACAAAAGCAAAATGTAGACTTTGCAAGGCATGTGAATGGCAGAGCATCTTATATGCAAATCAGTTCATGAGTCTGAGTTTGAGATCACCACGAATGAGTCCTGAAAATATGCTTTCAGTTCTAAAAGTGGTATCGGGGGAAGCTAGATGTGACCTTCAATTATTTGGGTGTCTGAACCTGTACCTATTCTGCAAAGACAATCCAAATGAATTGGCAAACTAAAACCTTAATGCTGGAAAAAGCTGGTGGCTCTCACTATTTTTGCCTTTTATGACTTTCCCTCCCCTCATTTCCCATACCCACTGCCTAAAGTGAACCCTTCGCCTAATGAAAGAACCAGCATTATGTTAACAATATTGCAATTGTGTCCTTGAGCACATGCAGAATGGTCTCCTGATCTTTAAACATATGAGGTGGTCTGAGGTCTTCAAAGCTCATTGGTGCATCTCTGTGGATAAGGGAAGCTCTTTCCACCGACTGCTATTCAATTTCGCAACTCCCAGGCTAACTATGAATCAGTTCCAGACTTCCAAGCCATTCCAAGAACTCAGTAATAACACTGACAGCAACACAATATTCATACTAAAGCATGCACACTGCCCAGTATGCACTTGGATCCGTTAACAGCCCTTTTGTTCTCTTCCCCTCTTCCAAATAAGAACGAAACCACAGAAATGCATTATGTTCATAACAGGAATAAAGTACACCCGCCCAAATGTTAACTCGCCCCTTGGTCACGAGAGACCCGTGGACTCGATTGCTCAGGACTTCTGGTGGCTTGCAATAGACTCGTGGCGGGGGGCTTGCAACACCTCGTAATTTACGAGCCCTCGGAACTGTTGGTGGAGTGTCCGGCGCCGGTTGCCGTTTGTAATAAATAACGAGGCCCGCGGACGGCGAGAAGGCTGAAAGGGCGTCGCTCCTGGTGTATTTTCCGCCGTAATTGCGTCTCCCGAAGGCAAACTAAATCTTCCTTGAGCGCGCGCGCGCGAGAGAAAGAAAGATCAGAAGAAGGGAACCGGGGGGGGGGAGGGGAAGAGGGAGGGGCGGCCTGGCGGAATGCGCCTGGTTCTAATTGCGGAATGTAGGGCAAGGCTTTCCGTTCCGCCCCCGCCTCCTCCGCCCCGCCCCCGAGCCTGAGCCCTGCCTGGCGTCGCTTGTGGCTTCTCCCGCGGTTCTTTCAGCAGAATCCCAAGCGGGCGTTTCTCCTCTAGGGAAGGAAGGCGGCGGAGTTTTCCAATCTCGCGGGGGGGGGGGGGAGAGGGGTAAATCGGGCCTCTGTTGACGCAGGGCCTGCTTTGTGTGTTACGGTTGCGGCAGCAGGGGGTGGTTGCTGGCCCTCTAGTGAGGCTTTCGCGAGTCTTCCTCCCTCACGCTTTCCTTCCTTTCCTCCTTTCTCAACCGCCAGGCCGTGTTGCTCGCTGCCCAGAGCGTTGCGTCTCTTTCACAAGCCAGGAAAACGGAAGGAGATGCATTTCCGAGCTTTTTTTTTTTTTTTTTTTGCTTTTTTTCCCCCTCAGGGGTTGGGAAAGGAGAATGTCAACCATTTCGATTTAGCCTTTCAATGCCGCTGAACGCACCCCTTCCGCAGCAAGATACTGCCGTTTAAATGTAACTCGCTTCTAAATACCGAGATCGAAATAGGTTTGGCTTCCGTGAAAATGGATGACACGTGGAAGCGTGGGGAAGATTTTCGGCAGCCGATTCCACAGCAAAGCTTGATTCGAGCTAAACGGTTCTTTCGCCCTTCAGATACAACTCACTAAAAGCGGGATGCAATTTGGTCAACGCGCCATTTTCCCAATCTCTTTGCCTAGAAAATTGCTCCAGTGCACCCGACATAATTTATTTCCAAGCAAGTCGGTGTTCATTACTGATGTGAAGCTCACAAACCAAAGAGACTTGAGCAACTGTCTTAAAAAAACAACAACAACCCACATACACGTAGGCTAATATGCTCAGAGGTAGGACTCAATGAATCCAATCAGTTGCATTTAATTCCCATTAAATCTCTTTTAAGATGGAAGTCTTAGTGCTGGAAGTAAATTATTTGCAGTATGCTCCAAGGTCAGTACCAGGATGTGTCGGAAATAAGTCCAGCTGAAATTGGATGGAATGACTTCCAAAAACACATGAAGATCTGGCAGCATACCGAGTTTCCATTTAAATATTGGATTGAGTTAATGTATTTATACAGGATTGAATCGGATTATTTCAAGCTAGCCTGTTTCCAGATTTAGAACTGCAACCTTCGAAATCTGCAAAGCACAGTTCTGCTCATTACCCCATGAGTCAGTTTCTGAGTTTAGATGGGACACAAAAGGTGGCTTCTCCCATTTCCTTAGGGAAACTGACCATCTTAGCAGCTTCACCAGAGATAAAAGAGCTTGAAAGTGGCTTGTTATTTTCAGAATTGCATCATAACGCACCACTGTAAGACAAAATAATTTATGGCTGCATTTTTAAATAGCCATTATGATGTCTTGAAAGAAGTGTGGGAGGAAGGAAAAACCTGCATTGGAATCCACATTCTGTGTTATAGTAACTCTTTAATATGGGAGGAAAACATCAGCATAACTACTTTGGTTAATATTATATGTCAAATTAGAATACACTGCCCAGAAAAAAACATCTAGAAATAGAATAAAACATGTTACTATTATATTGCCATGTTGCTTAACAAAAAAATGGTTGGTATTTAAGAAGCATTCTTTCACTAATTCTGGGTAAATATTCTTTCCTACTCCATTCCAAAAATTATTTAGAAAGAGGTTAACTTATATAGCATTAACGTATGGGCAAAGTAGGCAGAAAACCTATCGAGAAAATAGAGTCAGCGAATCCAGGGGCTGTTAAGTGCTTTGTCTCAAGCATGCATGTTTTGGTGGAAGTAAGCACCTGGTCATCAATAGTATACAGCTGGCTATGGTTTTTTTTAAATGTTGAGAAAAAATGAAATGGAGAAAAGAAGAAAAGAATTACTGCAGCAGAAATAGCTGATAATTTGGGGCCCAGTTAATTGTAATTAAATCTGTTAAAATATCTTTAATTTTATTGTCTTTAACAGGAAGTGAACTGCCCAGAAAATAATGTGTATTTGAAAATAAATTCCCCTGAAATCTGGCAGATTTTATTTCCATTAATCTGTGCTTAGCTGGGGTGGGTGGCTGGGTAGTTTCAAACAATGGCAAGATTACATCAAACAGATTTGTCTGCTTATTATGGTTATTCTTGATGGGCAAGAATGGGCAAGAAACCCTGTCTCCTGACGATTAAGTGTATAAACCTATACGAAACAACTGTTTTAGCAAGCTAATTACCTTCCTTTTGTTTATACCTAACTACAACAGCAAATGACTTACAAAGAAAAATATGGATAATTATATAAGTATAAATTTTTTTACAATAATCATTGTAGAGCAATCATATTATAGATAAACACACATACACAAACCAGAAACAACTGTAAGAACATAATGGAACCTACCGGCAGATTGTTTCGAGATTTTTCTTGTCATCCAGGTCTTGCGGATAGTTGGCAATGTTTTGGCCCATCTTGACCACACAATCCGAGAAGCCCTTAAAGACTGCATCACACTTGCTTGCTTCTTTGACTGCCTGCACCAGGTATGCTGGAGAACAGATCAGCACCATATCAGCTGGACAGCTCCCAACAAGATAGCAGCATGCTATACCCACCCCTAGTTTGATTCCAGAAAACCCCGCCATTAAGTGCACCTTCCTTTCACCTTCACACAGCTGCCCCAAAGCTACAATAGGAGCAAGATCTGCTCTTCTAGCAACTCTCTTCATCTAAAACCACCACCACCCTTTTACATGAAATTGGATAAGCTGCATTTGAAATGAAGCACAATAGATCTGAAGCACAGCTAGATCAAACTCTGTATTTAGCTCTTCCTTAAGGTGACCCACAAAAAGCTTAATACATAAATTTATCATTGCAACAGCAGCAGCAACAATTCTTTTGGGTTATCTGACCGTTATTTATCTTAGAATCCATTTTGAATTATTTTGAAAAGGTGTTCCTAGAACTTTTTTTAATTTTATTTTCTGAATAATATTACATTAACATTAGCAAAGAGCTGTATTGATTCCTGAACAGAGACAAATGGCTGGAATGAACTTTAAAGCCAGCCACATTGTTGAGATTGCTAAAACTGTCTCTTCAGTAGGTTTCAGTAATCTACAGAGCAGAGGGAACATTACTAAGATAATTTCAAAACCAGGAAGTGTATATACATTTGTCTATAGAGGATGATGAACGTATCATGGAAGTCATCAAATGTAGACAGATGTTGAAGTATTATCTTTTATCATTTCTTTCTGCAATCAAATCTCCTGCCTACCTTCTCTGCTCCCTCCATGTTGCTCCATGAGTAGTTTGGTAGTTGGAAATGGGGAGGGGGGATGTACATGTTTCTATCTGTTTACAAAAGTGAGGTAGCACATGTAATACAAAGTGCTCTTATGCAAATGATACTTCTAAGTGGATTGTAAATATAAAGGAATATAAACAGTGGCTGACATATTGGATGCATGCTCAGTCCTTGTTTTCTGGTCACTCCTCCAGCGCTTTCCTGATTCTCTCATTCAGGTAGAGACAAAAATATCTTTTGGGGTCTCCCTCTCATTTACTCTCTACACCATTTGCCTTTGTTGAGTTTCTCTACCAATCCAACCTTGTCTCTTCTGCTGTCCCTACCCACCACACACATCATTGGTGCTAATTCCCCGCTATTCATCTTCTGCCTCTCACAAGGAGCCTTTCAGTCTCATTGCAAGATCTTCAGGGAAGCTGAAACAAGGGCACCCTTTTCTGAGAAGGTGATAATGTGACGTCCTTTCTCGGGTGCAGCCCATATCAAAGTCAAGCTCTTGTTCACCGGCATGATTTTGTTAGCATGTAAGATCCCTCCCCCAAAGATTAGGGTAGTCCTTCCCACCTGGTATTCTTCAGATCTGTTTGACTACACCACTCGCTTGCTCAGCCAGAATGGTAGGAGTCCTGTGTATCTGAAGAGCACCAGATTGGAAACAGTGTATTATCTTCAACCCTTGGAACTTGATTGCAAAATCAGATTTGATCACAATGGATCTGAAATGCACCGGTGGTTAAAAAAAAAAAAAGTCTCTCCCGGTGGGATGTGCATGTGTGAATGAGAGATAGTTTTGGTCTCATTGTTGCTCTATGTTGGTAACTTGATTACATTGCACAAACATCAATCCAGCCCAATTTCTCTGCTTTTGTGAGAGCAGGTGAATGGCTACAGAGCAACATACGGGCAATTTATCCCTATCAACCCTGCAGCAAATGAAAAGGAATTAGTGACTTCTTGGTTTAAGAGTGATCGCTGGCTTGATCCTGAGCAAACTATTAGCTATTCACGTCCATATGCTTCAGCCTTCTGCAGCAATCTGAAAGCCCCTTCCAGCCCTGGGAAGGCAGGCAGGCAGGCAGGCAGGCAGGCGAAGGGTGGGAATTTGCAATCGGGAGAAGGGATTTTTTTTTCCACCCTAGAGATTTTCGTACTAATCCTTTGGGAATGCGGTGTGTGCTTGTGTGCGCGCGTGTATTTAAAGTGGATAAGTAAAATGTAGCCTCGTTATTACCAAAGCTCAGCACTGCTAGAACTTGTCTCATCCCCAACGGATTATATCGTTAACCCAATTTAGTAACCACCTCCCTCTTTTTTTGAACTCACTCCCCCGCATCTCAAAACACTGCTAGACTGCAGACGTTGGCTGCCGCACCGAACCTACAACCAGTAACGTTCACAAGAGACCAGTCCAAGAATAAACCCAGACTTCCTTCCTTCCTTCCTTCCTTCCTTCCTTCCTTCCTTCCTTCCTTCCTTCCTTCCTTCCTTCCTTCCTTCCTTCCTTCCTTCCTTCCATCCTTCCTTCCTTCCTTCCTTCCTTCCTTGAGGCCTGGGCAAAGCGCTCCTTCTGGATTGTGTCTTCTCCCCAGCTTCCCACTTACAGACGGGTACAAAGGGCAGCGCTGGGTACCTGGGGGGGGGGGAGGGAAGGGCTAGGGACCTGAATCTCTCTATTCCCACCTGTTCAGCTGGCTGGCTTGAGGTTGCCGTCGCCTGGACAGAAAGGGGCTACATCCCTGGAGGTTCCAAATTCAGTCGTGCCTGAAACGGACACATATATTTTTTTTTGGGGGGGGGGGAGAATCTCACCAGGGATTTCAGTAACAGCTGCCAGAAAGGTTTTTTTTTTTGTTTTTTGTTTTTGCTTTTTTGATAAAACACGCGGCCCACTTGCACGGTGAAAGACGAAACCAACAAAGCCTCGGTCACAACTGCAAGCACGCGTATGCCCCAATGCGGGATTCGAGTCTCCTCTTCTTTTTTTTTTTATGGAGGTGTTTAAACCCTGGTAACTGGGGAGAGCGAGGTGGATGGGTGTGTATAGGTATCTAGCCTTCGCCGCGTGTTTTCACATCCGCAGTCCCTCTTCTCCTCTCTCTCTCCTACCTTTGCTTTTAACAACCTTGTTTTCTCGGAAAGGTCAACCGTTTCGGGATTCGTTCCAGACATCCTGGTGCAAGGGAGCCCAGGCCAAAAAAAAACCCAAAACCCCTCTCTTTCGTTTTTGTTTTTTCCCAAAGCAACTCTCCCGGACCCGCAATTCTGCCACGAGGCTAGAATCAACCGCATCCAGGTGGGTAAAAAAAAAAAAAAATAAATGCGCAGCGGGGGAAAGTTTATTATTCAACACTTCCATAAAGGCTGGAAGTACAACACAACCCAAATGAAAAGAGAGTAAGGCGCCGTAGCGCACGCGCATTGCACAAACCAAGTCGCCCCTCCGCTGCCTGTTTTCCTTACATTTTGTGCGCCTCCAGTTCGAGCCTTTCCCAAAACCTTCACGCGGGGAGGGTACTTGCAGGCAAATGATAAAAAAAGAACAAACGAGCCCCTTCCTTTCGAGGCTGGCTCCTGACACTACCGCATCTTTCTTTCCCAGCCCAGAGGTAGGAAAGGGAGGACAGCAACGCCTATTTTCTCGGGATAGAAACGGGCCAATTTCTTCTACAGAAACGGAATTCCAACAGTTAAAACACCGCCGGGCGAAGCTGCGGAAAGAGGACAAGAAGGGGGGGGGGGATCCTAAAGCCTTCACAATAAAAACACCCAACAAGATTTGGGGCGGAATTGCAAAACGCCTCCCGTTCTTTGCCCGGTTCCCCTTTTATTATTTCCACCAGAAAAGTCAACCCGTTTCCCGGCCCATTGTTTTATTATTCTTTTCGGAAAGCACGAAATGTCTACATCCAAGAAAGGTCTCGCCTCTCTCTCTCTCTCTTCTCCCCCACGCTTCTGTTCCCAAAACGCTGCAGAGATTGTCGGCACAGAGAAAAGCCGCCGAGAGAAATAAACCCGAGACCACCAGATTTGGGACAGGAAAACTCCGGGGAGCAGGTGGGGGGAGCGAGCTATATTCTAAAAGGAGTGCGTGCGGACGTGTTTGTGCTTTGCGGTCCTTTAAATCAAGCACCCTTGACCAAACGTGGAAGGGCATGCTTTTTCTGTGAAGCTGCCAACCGCAGCGGCTTTTTTTTTTTTTTTTTTGCCGATCACCCCCCCCCCCACACACACACACCACACAACGCGCATCTCCTCTAAACAAGCCTCGGTGCAGATGTGAAAGTGGCCCTAACTTCCAAGCGCCTCCAACAACTGCAAAGCTCGCGGCCGAAGCGAGGCTTTCAGGGACGAAATCAGGAATATTTTAAGGCTCTCCTTCACTAATCCAGAGAGAAGCGCGCTCGTTTTAACACACACACACACACACACACACACACACACACACAGAGAGAGAGAGAGAGAGAGAGAGAGAGAGAGAGAGAGAGAGAGGGACCAAAACCTACTCCCTAATAGAATTCCCGCCGAAATGTCTATTTTTGAGCAAGACTTTTCACGACAGCCTCAGTCAAGGAAGATATCTGAAACTCGGGCTGATTCCCTTTCGATTTCTTCCCTTCGATCTTCCCTCCCCTCCACGTTTTTAACACAGCACCAAAAATGCATCTCCAGCATCCTTTGACAGAACACCACACCTGGGACAGGAACTTTGAACTGGCACTATTTGTGCCCCTTTTGTTTGCAAAGCAACATCCGTAATAATTGAGATACATTATTTGCGCCCTCTCTTTCTCATATCTCGGAGGGGAAGAGGTGAGAGAATTTAGCTTCGGACAAATAGGAGGAATGTGTTCTGCCGTGATGCAATCTTACACACACACACACACACACACACACACACGCGGGCACGAGGGGTTCGGGGAGAGCAGCAAGGTAAAACAATCCCGTTAAGAAATGCGTCCGTGTGTGGGGGGGGGGGAGGAAGGGGAGAGATGAGAGAGAACATACACACCTATGATACCTCGAATAAACAGGCAAATATAGATAAAAAGCAGCCAAAAATGCCCTCATCACATTATATCTTATAACTGTATAACAAAAACTCTCACATTATCAGAGCCTTGTTAATGTAGATATTACGGGTTAGTGCGGGGCATTTGTTTGGCACAAGAAGAACAAGAAGAAAAGAAAAGAAGAAAAGAAAAAAGAAAAAGAAAAGGTAGGTAGATAGATAGATAGATAGATAGATAGATAGATAGATAGATAGATAGATAGATAGATAGATAGATAGATAGATAAAAAAAAGAGAGAGAAGGAAGACACTTTAAAAAAAACCCAGCTATGTTCACCATGAATCCACTTACCTAGCTGCACAGCAAGGAACAGAGAAATGTATCTGCCGCTCAACTTAAGTCCCATCCTATATTTAGTACAACCATTTGCGACTGCAGATCGTCTTTCTTTCTTTCTTTCTTTCTTTCTTTCTTTCTTTCTTTCTTTCTTTCTTTCTTTCTTTCTTTCTTTCTTTCTTCTCTTTTCTTAAAGTGGGACTTGGGAAAATACGGGGGGCTTCTGTACGCCAGGCATTGCCAACAAGTTCCCTCAGCAGCCCTGAGACTTTTTTTTGCACACACACCAAACTGGACGGAAGGCTGAAGAAGAAGCAAGAGAGAGAGAGAGAGAGAGAGAGAAAGAGAAAAAGGGGGGCAGAAACAGAAAGAGGGAGAGAGAGAGGGAAGGAAGAGCAGGGAATGGTTCACTCCATTAGGAGGGGGCGGAGGAAGTATAGCCTCACGCCCACAGCCAACCCTGACGTGGGGGATGACACTGAGTGATTTCTTTTTTTTCTTTTTTCTTTTCTTAATGTGCACCTTGGAAGAGAGAAACGCCATTTATAGGCACCGCGAACTGGATTTAGCCTGCTCTTTCTCCTCCACCATTCATCGGGGGGAAAGCCATTCTCCCCGCCCTCTCTCTCTCTCCCCCCCCCGCCTTCCTAGCCGCCAGGGTGAATGGCCTCTCTGAGCGGGCCGTGGCGAGTCAAGGAACGGCAACCGACTGCTTGCCCCCTTGGCCAAGCGCTGCCTGCCATCCTTGGCCAAGCGCTGCTTGCCCCCTTGGCCAAGCGCTGCCTGCCATCCTTGGCCAAGCGCTGCTTGCCCCCTTGGCCAAGCGCTGCCTGCCCCCTTGGCCAAGCGCTGCCTGCCTGCCAAGCCCGCCTGCCATCTTCCCCAGCGCGGTGCCACCTTCTTCATGCCCAGGAGTCAGGCAAGACTTCAGCCAGACCTGCAGGGGGCGCACCTTCTCGCTCAAGGCGGCGTCCGCCGTCCTTGTCCCGCAGGTGCTGGTGGAGCTCCAGCCCAGCGGCTGGAATCTGAGCGTCTTCCTCCCAAGACTCAAACAAGTTCTTTTGTCTGAATTATGTTTTAGGACTTGTAGCTAATAATCATAATACGCCGATACATCTCGACGTCCTAGGCTCTTGGGAGGAACTCCATGCGCATGAAGGCCAACGCCAGCTAAAGAACTGGCAGCTGCGATTTCACACTGTTGTGTATATAATAGTAGTACTAATAATAATAATAGGGTCGCTTTACCTTAATAATTCTTAGGTCCTCGGTTAGGACTTGAATTATTACGTGTCCGTCAGTGTTAGACTTTGAATTTAATTGTAGGGGAACCACACAATAACGCCTCTCCGGTGCTTAAGCTGATGTATTTGAACACACTGCTGTCGTGGGCCCTTTTTTTTTTTTCCCCCTCCGAAAGGCTGCCTGTGCCGCCGCCGCCCCGTTATATAACGCAGCGCATCCACCAGTGGCTGGGTGCAGACGCAGCATTGTTGCAATCAATCCCGCAGGCAAGTTAATGGAAGTCCCTTAGAATTCCAGGGACTTGCTGTAGCCCTGTAGGCTTTGTCGGCGCTGGATCCCGTGTAAATGCACACAGAATCGAAAAGAACGGCGTGTAACTCGCATACTAAGAGCGTTTAAAAGGGACTTCCCCACGCACAATGTTCCCCCACGCCAGCGCCTCGCTGGGTGTATAAAACCAACCGAGTTTCTAAAGATCTCTCTCTCTCTCTCTCTCTCTCTCTCTCTCTCTCTCTCTCGATCTATCTATCTATCTATCTATCTATCTATCTATCTATCTATCTATCTATCTATCTATCTATCTATCTATCTATCTGTCTGTCTGTCTGTCTGTCTGTCTGTCTGTCTGTCTGTCTGTCTATCTAATCTCTATCTTCTCTTCTATTTATCTATCTAATCTCTCTCTATATATATGTTCCTATCTATCTATCTATCTATCTATCTATCTATCTATCTATCTATCTATCTATCTATCTATCTATCTATCTATCTATCTATCTATCTATCTATCTATCTAATCTCTCTCTCTCTCTCTCTCTCTCTCTCTCTCTCTCGATCTATCTATCTATCTATCTATCTATCTATCTATCTATCTATCTATCTATCTATCTATCTATCTGTCTATCTGTCTATCTAATCTCTATCTTCTCTTCTATTTATCTATCTAATCTCTCTCTATATATATGTTCCTATCTATCTATCTATCTATCTATCTATCTATCTATCTATCTATCTATCTATCTATCTATCTATCTATCTATCTATCTATCTATCTGTCTATCTAATCTCTATCTTCTCTCTCTCTCTCTCTCTCTCTCTCTCTCTCTCTCTCTCTCTCTCTCTCTCTCTCTCTCTCTCTCTCTCTCTCTCTCTCTCTCTCTCTCTCTCTCTCTCTCTCTCTCTCTCTCTCTCTCTCTCTCTCTCTCTCTCTCTCTCTCTCTCTCTCTCTCTCTCTCTCTATCTATCTATCTATCTATCTATCTAACGTCAGCTCTGCCAACTACCGTTTGAATTCGACTGGGTTGTTCTAGCGCGGATCCAAAGATGCTCGGCTTGGAATGACACCTCCGGGTCACGGTAAACACTGCAGAATGGGAGTGGAAAGGGGAGCCGGTCTTTTGTAGTCAGGTGAGGCGGCGAAGCCGTCTCGGGGAGGGGGATTACGGCGAGGAGGGAAAGGAGGGGGCTTTGCGGAGAGATCGAGGAGCCACCAGGGAGGGGTAGGGGAACCACACAAGCAGGCGCGATCCGATCGCCTGCCCTTCCTTCCCTCGCCTAGGCGGGGATAGCACGGCAGAATCTCCCTCCCCCGCCTCCGTGCTGCAGCTGCGGGGGTGGACGGGGCCTACCGCTTGCCGGATCTAGCCAAGACCGGCCCCTGCAGTGAGAAAGGAGGCGGCGGCGGCGGCGGCGGAGGAGGAGGAGAAGGATTTGGAGTCTTCCCTCCCCCACCCGCCAAGCATGACGTCACCTTCAAATGGCGGGAGGGGACAGCTGGTTCGTCCCGGCTGTAGTGCCTGCCCAGAATTTTAATCGGCCTCCTTTTCTCTCAGTTTAGGCTTGGTCCCCAAGCGCTTGAAGACCTAGAACCGATTTGGGACTGCGGGGGTGGATGGCATTTGGCCTCTTTCTCCTCTCAGGAGATGTCCAGGTTGGGAAAAGGGGGACTAGTTTGCCAGGAGTTTACGGGGACAGGCAGGACCACGTTTGAAAGGTGTGCTGCAGGCCGTGCTGTTAGCTACAGTATAGGAGACAAAGGCAGAATGCAGCACAGAGTTGATTGTATTAGAACTGCCGTGGTTCGGACGGCAAAATTTAGATTATTCCCCTTCATGGGTGCCTGATTTTCAGAGGCTGCCTGGACCAGTGGTGGCAAGCCTATGGCACGGGTGCCAGAGGCGGCACTCAGAGCCCTCTCTGTGGGCACGCGCGCCGTCGCCCCAGTCCTAGGCCTTCAGCTGGGTTTTATAAAACCTTTTCGCTTTAGGCCTCCGCTGCCGTGTGCAAAAAAAAAAAAAAAAAAGGTTCAATCAATCAGTCAATTTCAACTTCTCGCGGGGGGGAGGGGAATCTTGCAAAGTTGGAATTGATTGATTGAACTTTTTAGTCCCACCCAGTCTGCCATTACCACCACAGCCACGCCCATCCAATGGGCCACACCCATCCAATGGGCCCCACACCCACCAGGCACCTGACGATGCATAAGTGGGTTTGGGGTTGCAGTCTGGGCACTCGATCTCTAAAAGGTTCGCCATCGCTGGCCTGGACACTAGACAGGCAAAAGGCTGGACTTTTTGCGTCTCTTTGCTGGCATCTAGTGGTCAGCTGGAGTTTTGCAGATTAAATTTGGTACAGTAGCCCTAATTTTAGTAAGTCATACTAATAGTTAAAATTAAGTCAGATAATATGATCGCTATTCTATTGTGTGTATTTTCTTTTGTGACAAGTAGAATGAGGCCCGGTACAGTGATTTGGAAGGGCTGCACTTAAGATTAAAAGCTATTTGTGTCTCTCAGGCTTTTGTATACCCGAAGTAGCACAAGAAAGATAGGGAGTACTAAGGGGCAGGGAGAGAAAGTAACTTTCTTGATTTCCCCCACATTGCAGGGTTCAGGAAATTGAGACTCCCCAGAAGTTGTTGGACTACAGCTCCCATCAGAACCATCTCACATGGCCATTACCCAGGAATCATGGGAACTAGAGTCTCATAGTATCTGGAAGATACATTATTCATACTGTGCTGTGTTATGAATCCTGGGCTCCCTCAATGACAAAGATCAAAAGTGTCAGCCAAGGGTTGCTGTAAGATTGTCTACAACAGGGGTGTCAAACTCAATTTCACTGAGGGCCGCATCAGCATTGCGGTTGCCCTGGGGGGGGGTGGGTGGGTGTGGCCAGAGTGGGTGCAGCCTACTGGGTGGGCATGGATGGAATGGGTGTGGCCTACTGGGTGGGCGTGGCCAGTTCTACATCATTCACGTCAAGGGTGCCTATGGGGGCCTGGGCAGGAGTGGGACAGATCTGAGGGTCTCTGGCAGAAGGGGGTGGGACCGGGGCAAGTGCCAAGGCATGGTCCACCGGGGCAAATGCCAAGATGGCCACCACAAAATTGTACATTGGCTCCTGGCTGGCCTGGGCCATGGCCAAGGCAGCGGGGGCCGTTTCCTCACTGTTTCCAGGATGGCTTCGTGGGCCACATGAAACCACTTCGCGGGCCGCATCCGGCCCCAGGGCCTTGTGTTTGACATGTCTGGTCTACAAGTACTTCATCTCTGTACAATAGCATGAAAGAGGTTTTAGTTATACAGGTAATCCTCGACTTACGACAGTTCATTTAGTGACCATTCGATGTTTCAATGGCGCTGACTGTTGCAGCCTCCCCATGGTCTCATGATCAAAATTCAGCCGCTTGGCAGCTGACTCATATTTATGACCATTGCAGTGTCCCGGGGTCATGTGATCCCCTTTTGCGACCTTTTGACAAGCAAAGTCAATGGGGAAGCCAAGTTCACTTAACAACCGTGTTGCTAACTTAACAACTGCAGTGATTCACTAACAACTGTGGCAAGAAAGGTCAA